GACTCAAACATATATACTCCTTCTGCTCAAAAAAAAATAAAGCATTTCTAACCAAATTTCACTTCCAATAAAGTAGTTACTTTTTTTAATTAATCCTTTATTTTTATATTTATCCCTATTAAACATCCCATAATAAATATAAAGTTATTATCAATAGGGGTACTTTTAAAAAAAAGATAATGATTATACATTGAAAGATTAAAAATGCCTTATATTTTGTAATATCCAACTTTTCAAAAAATATTTTGCATTTTTGAACAAAGAGAGTATATTTTCTATCATTTTTTTGTTTTAAAAACTTGCTTTAAGAAACTACCTTACAAAATTATTTTAAGAACATAAAAATTGAAAAATAAAATGAAACAAGCCCTTAGTTTATAATATTTAATGCCCCGAAATATAAAAATGATAATTAAATATAAAGAAATGTGATAATTATTATGTAACCTACAAGGACTTATTTACCATTTTGATTTTTGACAAAATGACACATTTGCCTCATCGTCTATCATAGAAAATGACTACTTTGGTGTTGTTGTTAATTAAAACAGAATAAAAAAGAATTACTTTTTTTGTAAATTTGTTTATTAATCAAATGTAATTAAAATAGTCATTTTAAGGAAAGGAAGCAGTCATTTCCAAAAAGAAAATATTCATTTTCTAATTTATTTATGAATCATAAATTTATAGTAAGGAGGGAGTCATTTTTATTTATAGTAAGGAGGTAGTCATTTTTATTGTCTTCTAGTCAATAATCAAAGTAATCATTTTCTATAATAATCATAAAAAAACAAATATCCTATTTTGTAAAAGATAAAAAATACTATACAAAAATACAAAAATGTAACTGTACAATGATTAACTTGGCAGGGGCGATGCCCCATGCTGTACGTATACAGTCTTAACAACTATAATAAATTGTTTTTTTAGAAATTCCAATCATAATAAATAAAAGAAAAATCACACCCAATTTTTTTAAAAAAAATTAATTACAGATAAAAATTAATACAGAATGAGGAGTTCTTAAGATGAAAATTTGATTTATTTTTTCTTGAGTGAGACTTATTAATTTGTATTTGTGATTAATTCTATTAAAAAGGAGTTGAATGTAATTATTTTAACTTTACATTCCAAAAGAATTTTCAAAATTTGTGTTTTATTTAAAGACTAGAATGAGCATTACAGCATCCTTGAGAAAAGCAATTGACCTGAAATGTGCCACTGAGATGCATCAAACTACTAGATAGGATTATTCTTTTTTAGAAAAGTTAAGAGAAAAGAAAATTAGAATGAGAAAAAATGAAAAGACAAAAAACTAAAAATAATATTATCACTCGTTATAATTGAATATACAAGAGAAAGCATAGAAAAAAAGAAAATGAATAAATATGGTAATAATTATGATACCCTAAACAAATATGATGAGGTTGCCAAGTTGGTCGACAGATATTGCAATAAAAAATTTACTCTCAAAATATTTCCACTTATAGACATAAAATTTGAAGAGAAAAATATAATGAACCCCACAATTCATTTGTTTTCTTCTATTTTTCTTCACTCATCCAAAAAATAAAAAGAGATGTTGTTTTCTTCCTTATTTTTTTTCTCATGTCTTATTTCCTATCATGTATCCTTGCCTCCATACGTGATTTGAATAGTTTAGAATAGCATTGAAAAATTAAAAAAATGTTAAAAATATTAAATCTAGATCATTTAAAATTTATTAGGACCAAGTAAATACACGTGGCTTGTGATCATTCAAGAAAAGCTGAAGAAGAAAGAAACCCCAACAACATGAAGTTAAGGCTATATATATGAGGAGAGTGTTAGTGAGAAGGTTGTGCATGATTTGAATGATCTCTTCTCTATGATGTACCCTTCCCCTATTCCTTAGTAGTGGCAGAGCCACGTGCAAGTGATGCTCGGCATATCTCAATCAAGATAAGGCTATATTTTGCACATTTTTTTAATATTTTGCACCGTCATCTTGATATTTCAAGCCTTAAACTCACTTGAGCCTTAAATGATAATAAGTTAATTCTTCAATAATTCCAAAACATAAAAACATTGTACAAAAATTATTAAATATGTAATTATTTATAAATTTTTTAATTATTTTTAATTTTTAATATTGAAAATATATTTGTCTTCAGCTTAGGGTTTTTAGCTCTATCACTGTCTCTCATTATCTCTTATGTCCCCCTTCCTTATGAGCTCTGTAATTCTCTTTCTCTATTATGTCTTTTCCTTCTCTTATCTCTTTTTCACTTTTCTCTCATTGCTGTCAAGGATTATTGGATATAATTTTATATAGTTCATGACAGTTTTGTATTTATCTAAGAAAAGAAATAAAGTAAAATCAATGAAGCTAAAGGAAGTGCTTCAATTTGTTTCATTAGAACATCGATTCAACTCAGTTAATTGATATAAAACCGAATGGCAATTAGTTCATATGGACTAAGAGTCAATTTGACAATGCCTCTGACTCTATGTGGACATGTTTGGATAGAGTCTTGTGTAATTTTTCTATGTATAGATACCTTTCCTACTTTGTATTTGAACACATTGCCTTTAGCTGCATCTGATCATTTCAGTTTGAGAACTTAGCTATTTTTTTGTACCATGTAAGAATACCATAAAACAAGTAACACGGGATGATGTTTATTTTCATGATGTTTGGATAAGGATTACAGGCAAATTGAAAATAGTGGGGGTATGAGCTCTTAGGTTTGGTTTGGATGGAGAGAAAGGAGGAAAGAAAATAGTGAGAAGAGAAAATTATAAGGAACAATTTTCAAAAATAATGAATTTTTTACAATTTTTAAAAGTTTTTCCGTTTAGTATTGTTTTGTCCCTATCTTTTTCCTTGTCCAAATGAAGGGTCTAGTGAAAAAAATCACAACTTAGTAATATTAGAATTAGAAATAGTATTAATTGATTAGAAACAAACCTGGCTAACATACAACATGAAATGTTTCATTTAAATTGTGATGCACAAGATAAAAAAAAATCAGAAATCTTTTTTGGAGTTTTTGTATAATTGTGAAGAAAGCCTATGGGTTTAGAAATCTAGAATTTCTTGGATTAAAAATGGGTTTTATAGTACAAATGTTTTTTTTTAAGGAATCTATATTACAAATGTTAATGTGCTAAGGTTGTCTCATTAATATGCATATATAAGGAATTATTGATTGAAGAGATTGAACTTGCAGTGAAAACCATTAATTCAAATGGAGGCCTAGGTTCTCATGATTTAATGCTAGGTTTTTTTTTTTAAAAAAAGATAATTAGAGATGAAAAACGGGCGAGCCTAGCCTTTATAGGCCCAAGCCCTAAAGCCCATTTTTTATTTTTTTTATCAAATTTTGGGGCTTGACCCTTATTAAAAGGGTTCAATGCTAGGGTTAGAAACCTTGTTTAAACAAAATAATAAAAAAATTAATATTATAGTTTAATGTTTTTTATAAAATAATTTAATTCAACATCATAATATTTAATATTCTCTAAAATTTAACAAAAACTAAATCGAGGTGTTACATCATCTAGAAAATAAATAAATAATTTAAAAGCTTAAATATATGTTTGTTGATGCCATTAGAACTCATAATAAAGTTTTAAAAACAAAATATATGAGGCATATTAATATAATCCTCACATAATAAGACAAGAGATTAGAATTTTTAAATCAAATTGAAATCTTAAAAACAAGCATCAAATTGAAATCTCGGATGTCCGTGACCTAAAAAATGGCATATGCCTGAGGAGGAATTACTTGAGAGTAAAAGTCAAAAAACCAAAGCAATAGAATGCCGAAAAAAGAGATATTGAGTCAAGAGATGAGAGGGAGAGACTAGTCGAGAGACAGAGAGAGCCAAAGAGCGAGCAGAGAGTTGAGACAACTTGAAAAGATAAGAGGGTGAGGTTGAGTTGAAAGATGAAGAGAGCTAGAAAACTTAAAATGGTCGAATGCTTATAATTCTTTTCCCATTTGCCAAATGTGTGCTTTAAGATAGAAGAGAAAAAAAATAGAATAAGGCTTCCAAGGCCGCTCAAGTATGAGTCCTTTTTCTAGGGCTTACCAAGGTTGGGTCTAGAGGCCCGGTTACTCTAAAAGTCTCCCATTTTTTAAGCCCAAACCCTTATTTAAATAGGACTTTAAGTTTAGCCCTCCAAGGCCGGCTCTAATTCTTGACTTTAGAGATAATGTAATTTTTAATTTCTTAAGTTTGTCTCATTATTGATTTGGTATGTTAACTTTAATATTTATTGAGTTAGTCTCTTAAATTTACTGTAGTTATTGATTTATTCCTTATTATTTTAAAAGGCAATACTGTTAAAATTTACTAATATGAATAACACAATATTGATTATAATCATGTAGATTAAGAAAAACAAATGTTATTATTTAGTTTTGAATAAAACATGTTCTAAAATTTTTAAAAACAAGATAACAAAATACCATGTAAGGAATTATATTGATAAAACTAAAATTGACGAGGGTTAATTTGTTTACATTTAGCTATATGTATATATGCCAATTTATTAATAATTTTACACATTAGATTATTTTAAGAGTCAGCTTGTATTTTAAAACTTAAATGACTCACATGATAATTGAATAATTTATTCAGAATCAATTTTAATTATTTAAACTACCATATGGACATTTTATTTTAAAATTAAATTATTAATAAATTTATATATAATATTATTAAATTTGTTACATTTTATTTAAGGAGTAAAATGTATTATTGGTTTTATTTTTATTAAATTTTGGGCTTTTTTTATAAATTTTTCTGGGTCTTTCTTTGTAATTTCTTCCAATGCTTTTTGATCGATTTTCTGCAGACGCTCGAATTGCCAGCTTTTGAGAATGATCGATTTTAACCGACAGAATCGATTAAACGGTTTTTCATGTGTAAGGATATTTTTGTGTTAATCGATTTTTTTAGTAAAAAAATCGGTTTGGTAAAAAATCGATTTTTTACTTAACCAAACAGGCACTAAATGGCAATAGCTTTTCTGGTGACGACCACAGCAAATAGTATAGAACCACCTTTTCCTTTCGCTCCGCGCTCTGATCAACCGGTCAACTCACTCCTCCACTTGCAGCGCCGGCGTCGTCGTCGGAGAAGGAACCGATCGTAGACTTCCAGTAATCCTCCTGTTCTTCTCTTTCTTGTATTGATGATTTAGTTTTGTTTGCTTTCGGAAACATATCTCTCTGATTCTTATACCATACTTTTCTAGTACTTGATTAGCACTCAGATTAATCTCTCTACCTTTCGTGATGACTGTTATATAGGAAATATTTTATATCTTTGAAGAATTTGGAAGTACTGGAAAAATAATCTTAATTCTCTAGACGATAGATGATCAAGTATCAGTTTTTTTGATCCGAAGTGAAACACATTCAAAACGAATTTGGTGTACCCATCAGGAATAGTACTTGTTAGAGCCCTCAAAGATGGAGATGGGGAATTTCTTGTTTCACATCATAGTATTTCTTCACTTCATTTGAGGAATTTGCTGAATTATGAATGCGAGCTGAAATCAGGCGCTCCTTTTCTTTTGTTTTGTTTTGTTTTTGTTTTTGTTTTTTTTTTTTTTTTGGGTTTTGGTTTTCACAAGAGAGTATTTATGATCTTAAGTCCATAATTTTCATATTAAACCAGTAGTTTCTTTTGGCTTGTTTTCAAGTACCTGCTCAGTTTCTTTGTTTGCTTTCAAAGCTTGATTTCATTTGATACCTGCGCCAATTTGAATTGAATAGGTGCAGTTATTGGAGACCTCCGTAAGGTGCCGACCTAGTATGGATACACATGATTGGAGGGCTCAATTACTGCCTTATATTCGCCAAAGAACAGTCAATGCAATGTAGGTCTAAATTCTCTATTTGATTAATAAGATGGTCTGAGTAGCATCTGCTTTGAGATGTCATTTGTGCAAACTGTTGATGCTGCCTTAACATCCCCCCTTTTTGTCATGGACGCTTAAATTTCTTTCATCACAAAACATATATCATTGAATCCATGGTGAAGGAGCTATAACAGGCATTGCATGTCATTGGCAAACCCATTGAACTGCTGATTCTTCTATTTGCTGGTTCAGGAACCATATTACTGGATGTATTCAATTTCTCTTGACACGCTAGTGTTTTCCATTTATAGACAATGCTGGACATTTATATTTTAAACTTTCAATGCTATATGTGAGCTCCATTCAAGATTTTTAGAAGGAAGTGTTATCTTACTTTTACCCATAGCCTTAGATGGGGGAGTAGTAGGAACTATTTTTGTGTTCTATATATTGTCGTTATGACCTTGAAAGCTGCTGATATTTGTTGTTACGTTTCACTATGGCCCAAAATATTTGGAATAAAATTTGTGTTATATGCCTATCTTGGGTGTGAACTAGATTAGTTTTAATGGATTTGGCAAAAGGAAGACGTATAGAATTGTCAGGTGCTAGGATGATGGCACAAGTCTTCAACAATCCACTCCAGATGACATGTTTTCTTATCATTTATTTTCAATAAAACGAAAAACCAGCAAAAAAAAAAAATGAAGGGGCTGGACACTTGGATAATGATCATATTTTTTCATTTGACCGTTGTATAGTCCTCAACTTCTTGATTCCATATCATTGTAACACAACTCTTCGTTTTGTAGAATGAGTAGATTGAAATTGTGTCTGCCTGAAGGTGATGATGATGAATTAGTTGCAGTTCTAAAAAGTGCACAAGGTTTTGAGCAGAAGACTTATGCTGGTGCAACTAGCCAGGTACATACACCAATAATGTGTAATCTCAATTACTATAATAATTTGTGGTCATCTATGCAGATGGGTGAATCATGATGTAAGTATTGTTTTAACAGGCTTAACTTTAGCAGTAGCCCACTTTTTTTTTTTTTTAATGCTGTCATGATTGCTGATTTGCTGTGATGCTAATTTTCTTACATTTTGGCATTTCCTAATTTCAGGAAGATTATTTACGGAAAATATCTTCAATTTTGCAGTTAATAAGAGAAAGTAAGTCCCAGAACATCAATGTCACCGTTATGCCATCGGATTCAGTTATTGACCCATTTTAGATTTTGGAAGTTTTTAATCCTAAAGCCTCTGAACTCATTGTATTGGTTGAATGTTCAGGGTCTACTCTGAATTTATTCTTAGCAATTCAGCCTTAGCTTTCCACTAACGAAAATTTCAATTTGCAACTTCTTTTTTGTTTGATATCATATATAGAATGTTGGCTAAGTTTTATGATATTTTCCTTTAATTTTTATCTCAAACAAATACCTCTCGTATTTCATTTGAATACCATCCAAATTTTGTGCATTTGCATTGTAATTTTGTCTTGGATAGGAGTGCTTTTCTGTCATAATAATTTATTACTCTTTTGATTTGATATTATTAATTGATGTTATTTTTATTGTCTTCTGTGCTTGTAACCATGCTACTATTGTTTTTCCATCGACAATCAGATATGATTTAAGTACTGTGTTATTGATTCCTCAATCTAAATTTGTTAGTATGAATAATTGGAGAGGTACTCAAGTTGGATGATCCTTTACAGAGTATTGGACGGCTGGACTGCAATCTGATAGTCGCGGACGAATCATCAACAAAATGTATAAATTTTTATGTTGTTTTACTTTGGTCATATATTGCATGATGGGGGAAAATCGTATTCCACACTTCGTTAGAGTTCTCTCATTTTTTATTCGGAATCAAATTGATAACCAACTTAAGATTGATGCTCAAGATTATGTTTTGTAGCTGAGGAACTATAAAACATAATTTTTCTTATGATTATTGAATTGTATTTTTTTGCATACTTTGTGTCTCGAACTTATTTTTAATTTAATTTTTTTTAAGAGGTCCCCCTCCAATTCGATATCTGGGAGGTTTCTTAATATACTTATTATTATGTGTTTTTTTCAGTTATATTCTGCTTCTTGTTTGGTGTAGTTAGACGACTTCTTCATTGGCCAAAAAAAAAAAAAAGTTAAGAGGCTTCTTATTGTATGCTTTTTTTTTTTTTTAAGTTGTGGAGAGGGGAGCATTTTAAGACGCAAAAGAGATAATCTCCTCCAATTAGGAAATTCATTTTATGGTATCCATGTATAACTCTGAACTGAGCTCGATGAGTCCATGCTATTGTGTTGCTTTTTGGTCCTTTTTTGATATGAAAATGGACATGAAATGTTATGAGGAGTAGTATTTGATACTGTCATCATTTATATTTCTAATCAAAATCCAAAATTCTGTGTATTTCTTTTGGAAAATGTGAAGGGCATGAACGGTACCTTATGATCATGCTTGTTATTTGGAGGACTGTGTAAGGCTATGAGTTATTGTAATTAAACTGGTGTTATTCACCTTATAGATTGGAAACATTAAGAAGACATCTTCCTGTTTCTGGCCAAGAGGGATTAGATGAACTTCGTAAAATTGTTGCAAGATTTGAGGAGAAGATTCACAATGCAGCAACGGGCCAGGTAGAGCATCACAGTTTTAATTCTGACAGCCCTCTTGATAGATCATTCATCTGAGCAGATGAATTGTGATAGAAAGTTGAGCAGTATGTTAACCGTCTTGTAGAATATCATGGATTGCCATGATTTCTTTCATCTCTAACATTCCCTGATTTCAGGCTGATTATCTTCGGAGAATATCATTGAAGATGCTGGCAATGGAAAATAGCGGCCAAAACACTATAGCTAACTCTATGCGATCAAACCTTGGTGACAATGGTGATGGACCTTCAGATACAGGTATTGGAATCCAAAAGCTTCACGTTCTGATCTGTTTGCTACAAATAGCCTACGCAAGGTCATGAGCTGATAGTACTTTCGTACCTTTTTTTTCTTTTTTTGGGGTCAGAACAATTTGATGTTTTGATTTGTGAATAAAACTTAATGAGAACTAAGCTAATGATGTTAGGTTTTATGGTGCATGTGTAGAAGTATGCGCAGTGTGTGTAAAATAATGTATCTCATGGAGTGTGTGTGTGAAATAAGGGGTGGGTTTCTCTCCACTGCTTTTTCCCTCCTCTATTTTTCTACTGCAAATTTGAACATTTCGCATTAAATATATACTTTTAAAAATTATCAAATCTAAATTATCAAATCCAACTTAATGGTCCAAATCTATAGTGGTTTCTCTTCTCCTTTCAGAGGAGGAAAGCCAATGCCCAACACCGTTAAATAATGTATCTCGTGAACTGTGTGCAAAATGTATGTTAGTTGTCTTGAAAGATGTGACATGTCTTCGCTCAATTTGAATGTTTTCAATGAAGTCTATATATATATATATACACATACATATATATGTATGTATATATATATATTTAAGGTAGGGGGTTTGGAAATGATGCACTCTCTTGTTCATAATATGGGACATTTGTTAGAATCACCGTTTGATCCAAAATATAGTGCACTTGATAGTTTTTATAATTTTTTTTAATTATACCTCCACTTCATTTCTTATTTCTTTTAGAAAATAGATCTATCGAAATTTCAATTGTCATTATTAAGCATCTATTTAGAAAATTTAATGAGTGAATAATTGAAAAGATTTGCAATTTTTAAAAAGATAAAAGTTTTAACAAATTTTTTTTTTTTTTAAGAACCATGAAGAAGTTATCAATATTCTATGTTGTGGATTAAATGAAGTATATTTTTTGAATGGTGAATGTTAAGAAATATCATATTTTTATTTTTTGAATGGTGAATAGGGTCTGTTACTGTTAGGCGGGCTCAAGTGCTAGGAGGGCAGGTGGCACCATCAGAGGGAGAGAGAAATGCTGCAGGAAGACAATCTATAAGAAAAAGGAAGCGGCCTTAGTGGCTAGCTGATTTTGTCACCAACCTATATTTTTTTTTTTTATCGATAGCTGTATTTTCATATACTCGTTGTCTCATTTCCTCAGCCCATTGCAAATAATGTGGACCAAATGTTAATGGCCAGGCCACTATTTCGATTGTAGTGTCCTCTGTTTGTCCTCTGTAGTGTGTCGTTTTGCAATATTGGCTTATAGGGCCTTCGATGTAATGACTAATGAGAAGGAATGCTTACATAGGATTTGGAGTGGCTTTGGGCCTTATTCTTTGGTTGGATAAGAAAAAAAATAGAGAATAAGTAAAATTAAAAGAAAAAAATTTCTAAAAATAGTAAAAAAAAATACTTTTTTTGTAATTTCTCTTCTTAATTTTCTCCTTCCTATTTTCTTTTTGCTTTTCGGATCATTTTCTCCTCAACTTCCAACTTTCAACCGCCTCTGTCAAGTCAGCCAAAAGAGGGATGAAAAAGGTCAGTATTAAGTGTTATCTAATAAATATGAAAATCACTATACCAGATAGAATTATTCTTTCCTCCCAACTCCGATTTGGGGGAAGAAAACTTAAAAAGAAATGTAATAGAAGCAGAGAAGATGAAAAGAAAAAAATAAAAAAATTGTTATCACTCATTGTATTTAAATAGAAGAAAAAACAGAGAAAAAAGAGCAAATATGATAATAATTATAATACCCTTATGTCAAAATATATCAAGAAACTGAATTTCATACCAGAATTAAAAATTAATATATTAATATATACTCCTTCATTGTATCAAGTACGCACGCACAAACAAACTCCTTCCTAATATATACAAATATATACTTCAAGATTCAGATACAAAATATATTAATTAATATACAATCCTTCCTCTCAAATTAACATTCAAAATCAAATTCGAACTTTAAGAAGGTACTTAAAGATTACACTAATGGCCAACTAGTTTTGAATAAATCAAAACCAAAGGTTATACTTCAAAATCAAGATTAAAAATATATGCCATATCCTCATCCGCATGAGTGGAATATTTTTCAATTGTGAGAAAATCAAAAATCAAAGATTTGGAAAGAGAAGCATAAGGGGGGTGGATGAACAAATCCATCTACTGGGTATATTTGTGTGAAGAAGATAGAATCAGAAAAATGAGACAAAATTTAAAAAAATAGAATTGAAAAAAATGAACAAAAAAAAAAATCCAATCGTTGGGGGGAAATGAGCGAGGACGATAATATCAAGGAAGAATAGTGCAAGGCAAAGCCGATGAGGATGCTTGGGTTGAATAAATGGAAAGATTTTCTTTTCCACTTTTCTTTCCTCATCCAAACAGGTTGTTTTCTATTCAATTTTTTTTCTCATATTTTCTATCTTTCCAGCCAAACTTGATTTGAATAGTTTAGGAGAGCACTGAAAAAATTAAAAAAAAATACTAAAAAATATTAAATCTAGATCATTTAAAATTTAATACGATGGTTGATTACTTAAGAATTGAGAGAAGAGAAATATTTGAATTTTAGTTGTATATAATTGATTATAAACCAACTGATTAATATGATTGATTTTGAATATAATTAATTATATTATGAGATATATAATTGATTTATAAAATTAATTAATAAGATTGATTTTAATCAGAATTGAAAAGTAGAACTAAAATGCAAAATTGTAAAGCAAGTAAAATTATGATTTTGTGAAAATAAATCCAAACATCCTTGTTACATATTAAAATCAATTATGGATAAAAAACCATATTTTTCAAAAAATAATCAATTGGATTTCGATTGTGTATAATTAATTATAAGCAAACTAATTAATATGATTAATTTTGAATATAATTAATTATGTTATGAGGTATATAATTGATTATAAAATTAATTAATAAGATTGATTTTAATTAAATTAAAAAGTAGAATTAAAATGCAAAATTGAAATGCAAGTAAAATCATAGTTTTGTGAAAATATATCCAAATATCCTTGTTACATATTAAAATCAATTATGGTTAAAAAACCATGTTTTTCAAAGAAAAAATCAAACATTCATTATACATGTCAAAATTAATTATGAACAGGTTATTATGGTTTTCTTAAAAATATCCAAACACCCTCGTACATGCCAAAATTAATTATGAACTCAAAATCATGGTTATATGATGAGATACTATTACTTTTTTTCAATTCATATTTTCAATTTTAATTTTTTAAAAATTTATTTAAAAATCATATAAATTATTTACAAACCTGTTTGGCAACCTTTTATGAAAATAGTTTTCTGTTATCTAGAATAAAGACATAAAACAATTTGTTTAGTAACATATTTAAAAAAAACATTTTAAAGAAGAAAAAATAAAATATTATTCTGCAGAATAGAAAAAATAGAAACATCTTTTAAATATTTTGGGATTATTATTCTGAAAATTAAGAGAGAATAAAAAAACTCATATTTTTTATTATTTTTTATTTTCAAAACAAAATACTATTGCTTTGGGAGAGATCATATTTCTTTGATTCGTTATAACATGCTTTTCCCGTACTTGTTATCACTTGTGTGAACCTCTTTACCATCCATTACGGCTGGCATATGTGAAATATTTTCCAACTCGCGAAGAAATTGCAAGTACTGGGAAACTAATCTTAGTTCTCTAGACGATGGATGATCAAGTGCTAGTTTATTTTAACGGAAAAGAAACATATTCCAAATGATTTTGGTGTATGATGCATTAGGAATAGTACTAGTTATAGCCATGAAAGATGAGGACTGGGAATTTCACTTTCACATCATGCTATCTCATCTCTTCACTTGAGGAATTTGCTGAATTATGAACACGAGCTGATATCAGGTGCCCAACCTTTTTTTTTTTAAATGTGGGTTTTGGTTTTCGCAAGAGTATTTATGATCTTGAGTCCATTATTTTCTTAATAAGCCAGCAGTTTCTATTGACTTGTTTAAAAATGCCTGCTCAATTTATATGCTTGCTTTTAAAGCTTGATTTCATTTAATTGGTCAAATTTCAGTACCTTGTCTGATTTGGATTGAATAGGTTCAATCATTCGAAATATCCTCTCATGGTGCAGACCCTACTATGGATACACATGATTGGAGGGTTCAGCTGCTGCCTCATATTCACCAAATAAAAGTCAATGAAATGTAGGCCCAAATTCGGCATTTAATTAACAAGATGATCTGTTTGCTCCAAAAAATATGATAGTGAGATGATCTGAATAGTATTTGCTTCCACATGTCAATTCTGTCAACTATCAATGTTATTATAACATTCCCCTCCTTTGTTATGGAGGATTAAATTTATTTCATCGCTAAACAATAACAGATATCAATTTAATTATGAAACATATATCATTATCCACGAGAAAGGAGCTATCTTGGGAATTAACTAGGAATTTGGAACATTTCTGGTTTATTGTTTTTAGTGGATTTGGGAGAAGCAGGAAGCTTATAATTGTCAGGTGCCAGGATGATGACTCAAGTCTTTCACAGCCTACTCCAAATGATTGTCTGTTTTCCTAGCATTTCTTTTCCCAGAAAAAAAAAACGAAGGGGCTGGAGTTTTACATAATGATCATGCTTTTTCAGTTAAGCATTGTTTTTCCTCAACATCTTAATGCCATATTTTTTTTAAAACCATCCTTCATTTTGTAGAATGATTAAATTAAAGATGCCTACGTCTCATCACTAGTACAAAAATGACTTTTTACAGCAGTTAAAAATGACTTTTTACAGCGGCTAACGAGACGATGTTGTTCTAGGGGATGTAAAAAGTCCCTCTTTTTACATCGGTTATAAACACGATGTAAAAATTAAATTTTTTACATCGGTTATAGAGCCGATGTTGAAAGTTATATACAAGAAAATTAAAAAAAATTTACTTTAACTCTTTACACCGGTTCTTATCCCAACTGGTATAAAAAGTGCACCTTTTACACCGGTTGGGAGCGGAACCGGTGTAAAAGGTGCACTTTTTACACCGGTTATGACCATAACCGGTGTAAAAAATATTTTATTTTTTGATATTATATTTATTTTATTGATTTTACCCATTCCTGTGCATGGAAATTGCCAAATCAGATAGCCCAATTAATTTACAATTGTTTATCAAGTATTTATCAACTATACAAAGCTATTTAACTATTAAAAAAACTAATAATTGTCTAAATTGTCAAAATTGCCATTCCTGTGCATAAAAATTGCCAAATCAAATAGCTCAATTCATTTACAATTGTTTATCAAGTATTTATCAACTATACAAAACTATTTAACTATTAGGAAAACTAATAATTATCTAAATTGTGTCAACTATCAAAATTAAAACATATCTAAAAGTAACAAAAAACCTCACAAGTTCTCCATAAAATAGGTTGCCCAACGTATGCGGATGTCTTCAATTTTAGCTTCAGAAAATGCATCCGAATTGTCAAACATCTAAAATTTAATTCATAAAGTAGGCATATTAATCAATTTCAAATAACATAATAAAATAAAATTTTTAAAAATATATATATTTACCTCTTTTGTAAATTCGGTCATGCTTAATGTGATAATATTGAGCATGTGCCTCATGATATAAAGACCGCACAAGTTCGTCCTCACCGGTTGTCTATGACTTTATATAAGAACAAATCATAAAAAATTAGTAAGAAATCTTAATGGTTGAATATATTAATAAAGTATAGCATCACCTTTGGCTCAATTCATGTGGGATTCTTGAGCTCATATCCATGCTTTTGTAAGACTACATTTTGATATGTTCTCATTGCCCTATGATCAAGATTACCAAGTTAGTAAAAATATTTAAAAAATTAAATTAAATAGTTTAGTAAAAGTATTCTTACAAGTCTATCGTCTTCTTCATTTCTTTCCCAAGTTTGTAATGGAGGGAGCATAAAAAGACGACAGTGTTGCTCTTCATTGAAAGAATAAATAACTGCCAATGGTCCCTGCTAAATATGATACAAGTTAAAGTAAATCCATATTAAAAAACTATTAATTATAAATTGATCCTTACGAGTGCACATATGGAGCCATAAAAATGTCCTTTTTGACTTCACAGATTCTCTGTTGGAGGTACGCGGCCCTTAACTCTGGAGTATTACCTTTCTCTGTCATGTGATGAGGGCAAAGGAATCCAAACTTATCACCTTTGCCCGATGTAATGCACAAATGATGAAGATACCTACAACAATGCAATTATATTAGTTTACTAAACTTGATGATTAAGTTTACTTATAACAATGCAATTATATTAAAGAAAAATATACT